ATGTGGGCTAAGAATGAATTGTATCAAATCATATAGATTCGATTAACATATCAACGTTTTGTTGACAATTGTTTTGTGGTTTGCGTTTTACGTCATTATTTAAACTAGGTTGTGATATGAAAACCTATATGTTGATATACCATTCATTTAAGCTGACATTCCATTTTGGAAAGAGGTGAGGTGAAATTGGGTTTAACGTCGCGTCCAAGATTACTGGGCTTATATAGCGACGTGTGTGTGTGTGTATGTGTGTGTGTGCGTGCGTGCGTGCGTGCGTGCGTGTGTGTGTGTGTGTGCTTTTACTAGTCCGGACAGATGCAGATTTATAGTGCTAGCCTTCTAAGATACAATGCCGCAGTTTAACATGAATACCCCGCTCAGACACAGTATACTGACTCCGAGCTGACCAGTCCTTGTTTTATCCCGTTAATGCAGAGCGCCAAACAGGGTAAAAAAACCCATCTCTAAACGTCTATGGGTATGACGCGGCCGGGAACCCCGGACCTTCCTCTCTCCGGGCGGACGCTCTACCACCATTTTCGAAGAATGTTCTGGAAAGCTATACCACGGTAAACATTATTGATGAATGGTAACTCCAAGATGTCAAACCATTACTTTGCTAATCCCAATTGTAATATTTCAAAGTAGAATAAAAATGGAATTCACTTATTTTAAGACATTTGTACGAAGCATTCTTCATTCCATTTGATATTCTAAGAATAAGTATGCGATGAGGGGAACAATGTTAGAAAATAACCAACTGTTGTTTTGCAACTTGGAATCATACACAACGTCTACGCCAGAGCATAATATACCAAAACAGACTCCAGTGGGCGTACGGCAAACTAGTAGTGGAAATGATAGGAATGGATCACTGAAAATCAGTGATGACACCAGGTGTTCGGGAAAGGGGTAAACATGTACTGCCCTGTCGGTAGTACCCTCCATTCACACAATTTGCCCCCCCCCCCCCCAGGTTTTTGTTTGTAGCCTACCGCCGCACAACAGTACTCCTGCCGTACACACAACATAACAGAGTGTCAGGAACTCTTCATGCAGTAACCCCTTTAAGGTATACGTAATACTTGTGTGGTTTCTGTCCTCTACTCAGAAAACGGGTCTAAGGATATATACACACACACACACACACACACACACACACACACACACACACACACACACACACACACACACACACACACACACACACATATATATATATATATATATATATATATATATATATATATATATATATATATATATACATGATTATGAATTAGAACGTCTGTATAATAAATTAGAATTTCTATATCATAACTTCTGGATGATCAACCATGTTGAGTTACAAATCGTAAAGGGAATCTACACTAGTACATCACATCCTGTGGTGTATACGAGAAACATCGATCAGTTGTGCCATTGTCCAGCACGGAAAATCATTACGTGGCATTATGGGTTGTGTATCGTTCATCAGTTACCCCCTGGATACCGTGACGGTGATCACATCCACAAGTCCCGTATCCAGGTTACACCGCCATTGTCTCTGTGTCTGTCTGTGTTTGTCCATCACCATACTTAATATCATGTTCACATCTTTACTCTTAGTCAGTCTGGCTATGTAGCTTACCTTAGCCGCGAGTAGGATACACCTGCACGCTGGACGTGGTTTGTAGTAGAGTTAGCTTTGGAATCACCACTCGACTTATTTCAGTTCGTAATTGTATTAATGATTCACAGTGCCTTTTAGAAGGTGGTCAAATGTAACACATGTTATTTTTGGGATAACACTTTCTTAGTAAAGTACCAATTCACGTACTGTTTTTGGTTAATCCCCCTGGCACCTATTCGCCAGCACACAAAGTCAGCGATCTAACCCACTCAGCCATCGAGGCGTCCACTTCATTGTATTGTTTAGTATACACCCGACCTTGGATTCTTAGTCATCGTCATCAATTTGAGTTAATTTCACCGTCAACATACAAGCGGACATATGCGATAATTGTAATTTTTAAACAAAATGTAATATTATGAGTCTATTATTTCAACATTCAACAGGTATCCATGGATACGTTATAATTCCAAAACTAAACTCCAAATGTCAGCTATGTATTAAGCTCGTGAAGTAACTATTGGGATTATCGATAATTATTCATAAAATTGCCAACTTACCGTTTCTTCGATGAGTTATAGATTATGCTAATCTGTGATCGATATCAACATTAATCAGCCCGGTTCCACAATCGCTCCTTCATCTTCACATCATTCACGGCTTCATTCTTTTATCGATTTTATATTAATGCCCGTGCATTGCAGCTACGCATATTCATGTGACGTCATGTCAGCATATTGCGATGTTTCGAAAAATAAACACTGAAAAATATAACGTGTTGATGTTTGTCGTAAATACGTGCTGCATACTTTTCATATATTGCATTTGAAATAGTTGATAGTGACAAGACCCAGTGTTGAACACTGAAGTATGCGCTTACTACATTTATTGGGTTCAAAACATTAAAGGTGGACTCCGACCGGGTAAATTGGCAGACCGAGTTGATTCAAGTCGTTAAAACAATACGTTGTGCGTCGGCTAACATAAGCTGTATGAAGTACTAGTATATCACTCTTTAAGTTAATGGTTACCCCAATTAACACAGGTACAATTACTCCTTTCAACCATGAAAGGTAATTCAAAGTCGGGAACAAGACACGAAATTGGGGGCGATAGGAGTGGGGGAGTGTCCATTCAAGAATTATGTTTCTCGACCATGTTGAAAGTCTCCACCTTCTGCAGTAACCCTCTATTTCCACTCGCCTTCACATATGGTTTTACTGTGAAGTTTTCACGAGAAAAATATTGTCTGCTTTTCCGTTGGTCACATGTTCGCGAACCTGACGTTCATAAGCGTACGAACGACATATTTTGAGGTTCATACGTTTTAACGAAACTGTTTTCTTGAAATGACGTAAACACTGACGGACAACTTCTACATTCCCTGGATAAACCGTGGTATTCCCCCAGCACTATGTTAATACATATGCGTTATTTCGGATCATTTGGACACTGAGATTGTGTTGGGGGTTTAACGCCGCTCTGTGTCGTAACTATGGTGATCACGACGTGTCAGATTGATGTCGGAGGAACACACCAACACAGGGGTGACATTACGAGTACTAGTAAGCTGCTGACAGGTCAAGACGGTGACCAAAGTTTCAAACCTAAGATCGATTTTCCATAGGGTGAGTGAGTGAGTGAGTGAGTGAGTATGATTTTACGCCGCTTTTAGCAATATTCCAGCAATATCACGGCGGGGGATACCAGAAAGGGGCTTCACACATTGTACCCATGTCGGGAATCGAACCCGGGTCTTCGGCGTTTCCATAGGGTGACATAAATTGAAGATTTCAAAGTTTCAGGTTTTTTAAAAATATTTCTTGAACGTGAAACAGAGCCAGCCATTTGTCATGTTCTCGCAATATGTTGTTCAAAGTAATTAAATAAGTTTGTCCGAGAGGAAACAAATGTTTCATAAATAATATTATATTAAATCTAACATGTTTGAAATGAATTTGCTTTTTAATAGCCCCAGAGTAGGAACATTGAGAAAAGCATCTAGGTTTTGTAAAATCTTCAAGAATAAGTTTAATCCTGGAAAGAATGTTTCATAAATGTTTGTACAAATTTCCACATGATAATATTAGTTTAGGTTCATACATTTTTGTACTGTCAGTGCTATAAATTGTACCTCTAGTAGTATCTAGAGTGTAAATAAAGTTCAGTTCAGTGGAGTTGGATGAAAATGTTTGTGTTACAAATTTTTGATTATTCACACCAATTTGATGATGATGATGATGATGATACAAGCAGTGATTGTATTTATTCATATGACGTCACTTAACATCACCAATCAATACATGCATATTTCCAGCCGACCGGCTGCAGCTCCATTGCCGTCATTATCCTGAAATCAGTATGGGTATTTATCAATCAGATTGATCGGTATCGATAGTACAGAACCCGCTGCTGTAGCCGTTCCTTACAACGGAGAATAATTAAACCAAGCTCACATTAGACACGTGAAAAGACCGGTAGCCAGGGACTGACTTATGAGCGTGGGTATAGGGGCTGCGTTTCAGCGACGAGGAACATTTGGTTATAGATCGGTACTGTTTTCAATCCTTGTGTCAGTACTGCACCAATTCAGTCTATGATTTGCTGAAAATATTTAGACTCTTAAACATGTTTATTAGAATTAAACGTTAAAGACGAGGATTGGTAACGTGTATTTGGGTATTGTGATGGTACACAAAACATGTCCAGCAGTTGAGCATTGTTCCAGAACGCAACCCAAACAGTCATTAGAAACTCGTTGATCGGTTCCACGTTAGATCCATGACCCATATTGGTTATTGAATAAAATCAGTGGCCGAAACACAACACCAGCGGCTAATAATTGCCTTTATTTATACGTGTGTGGCAACCGTTCTCCATGTCTAACAAGAGTTGCTGAAATTACCCACGCAGGCCATCTCGTGGGATTCCAATTTCTTATTTGTTCGAAGACGTTGACCAAACGGACACCAATCATCAGTTACGCAGTTCAAGTGGACATTGGTGGTCAGCAGCGGTAATTGGCACGTGATCACATGGTCAAACAGGTACATTTCTGTGGCGTCGACCACATACTGTAGCCCAAAGAGCTACTGGTATTCCCACACAAACGCACAGTGACTTAAACAACAACCCATTGGAGTGGTTGGTGTACAACGTAATGATTGATTGTATTCGTTTCAACAAACATAACTCAGACTGTGTTATTTTTCCGCTGAAGTGTGACAAAGCTGATGTTAAAATGTGTTTCCGAGTAGGTTCGATTATTGGACAATATACCATAAGGTGAAATGGCGTGTTCATGTTGAAAATTTAAAATGTGACTCTCTGTTGGTGGGTGGAAGTCAATTCAAATATTCGTTGAAAGCAAGGAGTCTCACAGATGAACAGTCTGGATGTCTACGAAAATGACGTCACAAACTGCTGACGTGTATCAAAAGCTACGTGTGGCCACACCCTTGTCCTCCAGGACAGGTCAGCCGGTCAGTATAGTCTTCAATGGCATCAATGCAAACTCCTGGCTAAGTCCAATAGGAATCAGTAGTCGGAAGGATGACGACAAGGATCAACGTCATATACCACAGCGACCGTTTAGTACAGGTAGCATAGCCATCGTGAGGCATCACCCCAAACCACCAGGTTTGCAGAGGAATGAGATCATTACAGGTCAAAGTCTTTCTGTGAAACATGACGAAGACGACGCAGAAGTAAATGAGCAACGTGCGAAAGGTCAACTATTCAAACGTCCAGTTCCCTTTGAAGTAGATTACTATAACAATGGTTCAAGCATCTCCAACCAAAGATTCACCGGAAGGGGGTACAAGGGAGGCGGGTTTTGTGATGGCTCTATTAAAAGACACAGATACTGTATCAACAAACGACAAACAAAACCAAACTGTAGAGAAGACCAAATCAGTCTGGAACTTAATGTAAAGTCATTAGAAATGGGTAAAGACAAAACAAGTACGAGAGGAGGTGACAGACAAGAGTCAACAGAAGAATCTGGAACAAAGATGCAAAACCAGCTACTGAACGTTAACGCTTATACAGACCTGAGTAAGTCCTGTGTGAGAAGGGCCAAGTCAGCTCCCCCTGGTGCGAGAGTCTCGGGAGATAACAAACCACCTCCTCTATACTGGAGGGCAAAGTCAGCCTATCATAGGAAACTGATGACACCAAACCCAGAACCTGAATTGGACCCAGGTGAAAGTAGCCAGATTCTGAGAGGCTCCATGCTTCGTCCTTTGCTGTACAGTGCCACGAGTGACCTTCATCACAGTGCCGGTTGTCCTTATCAATGTAAAGGGTGCTTCAAGGCTTGTCTTGTATCTAAGGATTACATGGAGAAGTCTCGGAAAGGACATTTGCCGGTGAGGGCAAGGAAAGAGAGTCATGTCAGGAATAGGTCCATGATGAAGAAAGATCCAAGATATATTCTTCATCAGGCCTTGGCTAGGAATCAGCCTATATACAAGCTGGTTCATGGTTATTGTGATGTACAGGCAGTCAGGGAGGCCTGGCATGATGGAGGTACTGTCAGAGATAAAGATCAAATCAGCCTCGTGGGAGTGGATAATGCAGATGGCACACATCAAGAATTCAACTCGGAATATTCAAACGGAGTAAACAACGTTCAACCAAAGCCCATGGACGATGCCACAGAGGTGGATGCATCACATCCATCACAGCCATTGTCGACAATCTCCTCCTTCTTGGAAAAGGCTAAGCCTCCAACTGTGAATACTCTATATTCGAAAAAGAGGGTGAAGTCAGCTGAACTCCAACGTCCCAGCAAAGTGAAGCTACAGGCAAGGCCAACGAGCTGTTCTGGAATCAATATTAATTCTTTGGAAAGAAATAGCATTAATACACTATTATCACATTGTCGTGACGTAGGTAAGGGATTGCCTCATATACACAACACAGACGATACAGAGGACCATAGTGTCCAAGGAGATTCTGCGTCATCCTCAGTAAAGTGGGCGCTGAGGAGGGGGGGTGCTGTGGGGGCTCAAAGTCCATCGCCAATGGAACAGAAGGACAAAGAAGTTGATTATTCTGATGATGGTGACTGGAAGCCTGATGGGGAGTCTAGTACAGCAACTGAACAATGTTCTGATGATAAATGCAGTACTTTGGGAAGGCGTTCAAGTATCGACAATAGCAACCCCTCGGATTCTTCTGTTTCTGTGAGTGATGATGGTGGAGACAGTGACGTGACAATTACTGGTAAACGGACACAATCAAAGGTATCAAAACAAACACGAAAGATGACTACATCTGACACCGAGTATGACAATGGGAAGAACGAAAGCACTGCATCTGATGATGCTGAGTCTGGTGGCAGTGATCTGAATGGAACCAGCGACAACGAATGCGAGAACAGGGAGACAGGATCATCTCTATCATCAGATGGAACAAGCAGTGACACCGTGACAGTCAGTGACAATGAGAAGTCAGGTAACGAGTCAGATGACACCAGAACAAACAGTGTAAAAGATTTGTGTAAAAATGATTTAACTGTAAATAAGACAAAATCTAAACAAAAGAGTCTTCGACGTGTTAAAAAGAGATCTGAAATGTCAAAGGTTTCACATGCACAAGACAGTGAAAGTGATGTGCAGAACACGTATCTGAATAGTGATTCCAATGAAGGCATCGTATCCAGATGTCTTTCAAAGAGCGATTCAATGAAGACCAGTGAAAGTGGTGCTGTACATAGCAGGGTGCATTCCGAAACTGAGAGCGAGCTTCAGTTTGACACAAATAATAGTGATGTGTTTGATAAGAGCAGCAGTAGCAGCAGCAGTGATGAAGATGGCTCAGGGGAGGAGGAGAAGGAGGAGGAGAGTGATGAGGAAAACAGTGATGAATCTTCGGAGACTATGACAAGCCAACATAACAGAATTAAGCCCCACCAAACGAAAAAGGGTGCATGTGAAAGGAAAAGTGCTGACGTTATTAAAGATGATGAGGGAGAAGGTGATGAAGAATCAGAAGAAGAGGACAGTGCTGATGGGGATAGTGATGAATCAGGAAATACCACTAGCAGCCAACGTAGGAAAATTAAACGCGATAGAACGAAAGTGAAACAACGTAAAAGTGTGTGTGCTGAAGATGATAAGGAAGATGACGATAACGACGACGATGAAGAAGAAAAAAGCGAGGAAGGAAAGATGTGTGAAAAAAAGGATACGATAAGACAAAGAAAACGAGTCCACACACAGAAAGTAAGAAATCATTCAAGGAAACCAAACAGTGATGACGATGGTGAAGAAGAAGATGGTGGTAGTGGATCAAAAGAAACAGAAGACACAAACTCAAAGCATTACACACGCGGAAATAAACAGAAGAATAAGAAAGCTGATGAGACACCACACCCTGAGGGTGAAAACAGTGATACAACAACCACCACAGAAGATGAAGAGGGTGATGACAAAGAGGAAAACGATGAAGAACATGACGAGGATGACGATGACGATGACGACGACGACGACGACGACGACGACGACGACGACGACGATGATGACGACGATGATGACAACGACGAAAGCGATGAGGATGAGGAAGATGATGAGGAAGATGACGAAATTAAATATAACAAAAGCACAAACGTCAGAACGAAATTAAGAAGAGACAAAATGGGTGCAGGTTTAAAGAAAAAGAAAGGTACCAAGCTGAAGAAGTCTCATCAAAATAAAGAGAATGAACAGAGAATTTCTAAAATTAAGAAAATGGACAAAGTTGGGAGCAGGTTAAAGGTAGGGTCAAAGCCAAATCTAACACATAATGGCAAAGATGAAACAAAAGCACCAAATAAAGAAGACAATATTGAGGAGGAAGAGAAATCCATCATCAGTGAGGACGAACAGAACAACCGGCTTATCAACAAACAGGCCAAATGTAACAACGGTGTTGAGAAGAAATCGAAACAAAAAAACAAATCAAAGCAAACGGTTAAGAAAAAGAAAAAGACAAACGTTAAGATAGATCCAGATAGTGATACGGATAATGGGGCAACAGAAGATGAAAACAGTGAAAATGATGAGGATTCAGAAGATGAAAGTTCAAATGAAGAAGGAGGGAGTTCTAATGCTGAGGAAGTTGGTAGTCATTCAGAAGATGACAAGAGTTCATCGAAATATCAATCCGAACAGGAAGATTCAAGACAAGAAACTGTAGGCAGTGATTCAGAAGATGACTTAAAGGCTCAAGACAAAGGTTTTGCATCTGAAGATGACAAAAAATCAGTGAGTAATGACGATGATGATGAGTCGAGTGAAGAAAGTGATTCGGAGGAAGAAGAAGAGGAAGAATCTGAGGACGAGAGTGAGGAGGACTCAGATGATGACTGATCAAGTCACACGAGGGTTGCCATGTGAACACCTACAATATTATGTATCATTATGTTCCTTAGTTTTGTGTTGTATACTTCCCATGGAGCAGAGCATGCCTACTGATCTGATGAAAGACTCTCAATGTGACATATGCTCTGAAGACGCTACTGTGTGAAATATCGTGTGACATCAGTGCGCAATTATTTTACAATAATATTTCTTCAGCATTCTTTTCCAACGGAAGAAGCAAGGAATTATATTGAAAGGAATGTTCGTATCGACAGGTGGTATACAGATCTCAGATTCACGCCATCACAGTTCTATTTGAGTCAGTGTCGTTTTGGTGTCACGCCCGCCTACTATGTGTATTCATCTACCCACAGGAATACTGGGGCGACATCAGGCTTGTGAGGTGGGGTATTTTACATTCATACTTGAGCCTGCGGAAGGCGCCGCTCATAGCCTGCATAACGCAGTGCCAGACAAATAGGAATGTAGAAAATATAAACTAGAAAGACCATATTTGGTCAACAGAACATCGTACAATTATGACAACAGACCTGAACATTTTCCTGTGGAAACGAGGAGCCTGTCTTGTTTCCAACCTGAACATCATTCCAGGCAAGTGTGAGTTCAATACAGTCACAATATACTGTGATTGGATAAAGTGAAATTAATCGTAAATGTTAAGGAATTTTCTTAGTTTTTTTAAAGTTTAAGTGTTCAAATATAGTATATTATCATAGTATAGTATATAACATGATACCCATCAATAGCGTATATTTGTTTCTGATCATCTGATTTGTTCCAACCCGACTGAACAGTATGTATGCGGAGTGCGGCGTTAAACAACAAACAAACAAAAAATGATGGATTGTGTGTAGAGAATCCTCATTAGTCTGGAATGTGTTATTCCATAAACCCCTTGAATCCGGACTCACACCAATTTCTTTATCACATGATAAGGTCGACTTCTTTAGATTCTTTTTTTATTAAAACCAAATATTCAGATTGATGATATTTGATATCACTTGTATCATGGATAAGGAAAATTGTTTTGTCGTAGCAAGTTGGTTCTCTAACAAGATGTGTCTATTTATAATTAAATCTGTGTACCTTTCTTGAAAATAGCACGTGAATGTCTCATGTACTTTAGGCTGTGCAGGGAAGCAGCGTCAGTAGTGATTAATGAAGCATGATAAAACTATTATTAAAGTATATTTTGGTCTGTAAATTATGCACCAAATCAGCAGACAAATTAATAGGTTTTGATTTCAACACTGATTCTATGACATTAGGGAAATCAATTATTGATGTAGTTTGCTGATACAATTGTATGAATATTACATATCGATGCGAACACGCGATTTATGAGCTTGAACATTAAGCAAGCCGACAGAATCCGAAACAAATTCTGTTTACTGACAACAGGAATTCAATATATGGACTTCTCTGTGTTAAAGAATCAACGCGACTTAGCTGTTAACAGGGATATTGATCTCTGATCGATCAGAAGCCTTCTGTGCGGTTGCTGTGAGATTTAATCGCCAACCAAGGCTGAAGCAGTAATTGGATCAACTGAGTGGGTAACTGTTATGCCATTTCCAAGCTTTGTTTTCGTAACATGTCTTAATTCTTTCAGTGTTTTTTATGTCGCAATTTATAATAAATGAATTTTCGTAAGATATTTCAGAAACATGTTAATAACTTCTCATTTGCCCTTTAAGTAATTAGTATCACATCCGGGTAGCAACAGCCAGTGATATCTGGATCATATCAGTGTATTTCAGGATAGATGTAGGCCAGCAGTCACCGGTACACAATTCACAGAAGTCGCATTAGTCGTGCATGTATAGTGTTCTGTCATAAGTTGCACAGCCTCATGAGTGAATATGGTTTTACGCCGCTTTTAGCAATATTCCAGCAATATCACGGCGGGGGACACCAGAATTGGGCTTCACACATTGTACCCATGTCGGGAATCGAACCCGGGTCTTCGGCGTGACGAGCGAACGCTTTAACCACTAGGCTACCCGACCGCCCCTCTTAGCCTCATGAACTTACATTGCTAGCTTTCTTACCACATCAACATCATCAATGGACATCAGTAAATTAAAAGTATGTAAGTAGAACATTTTGAGGAGTTGCTTTGGATGTAGAGGTCACGTAATTCAGCATAAGTTTTATAAACAAACAGAAACTGGTACTCATCTTCTACATAGCCAAACTTACATACATTACAATGACTTTTTTGTCTAGGAATATTTGTAAATTTACCACCTTAATTTCTAGTTGATGCGGGCTATATCTACTCCTAGCTAAAGCTACACGGAAATTATTGACAGAAACAAGTTTGATAAAATGCTCTATCATCAATGTATATTTATGTACAAAAACAGTTTTGTAAATAGTATTGTATTGTTGATCTTTGTATTCATGCTTGATTCGTTAAATTCAGTATTCCAGAGTGTGGCGTAAAACAACAAACAAATTGTATAGAATTATTTACACGCTGTATATAGGTGCTTCCCCAAGGTGAGCAAGAGACATATACTCGTGGGTTCGAATCCCATGTTGGCCCTGATATGTCTCTAGGTTTGTCAGCATCATACCCCTGCTCTTGGATGCACCAAACCTACAGGCTTTCCTCCCGACCTGTGAGGATCCGCCTTCAGCAACCCATGCGTGACGTAAAAGGCGACTATGCTTGTCGTGAGAGGCGATGAACGGGATCGGGTGGTCAGGCTCGCTGACTTGGTTGATGCACGCCGTCGTAGATCGATGCTCGTGATGTCAGTCACTGGATTGTCGGGGCCAGACTCGATTATTTACAGACCGCCGTCATATAGCTGGAATATAAACTAACAAACAAGCAAACAAGCTTTCCTCCCACATCAAGATGACACGCCATGATATTACTGACAAAATGTACAAGGTAGCGTAATTCGCAAATCACTCAAGTTTATTTATACACTTATTTACAAATAAAATTATTTAAAACCATTTTTAGTTTGGCGGATTACATTAAATGAGCGAACATTTATAAATTGAGTGTTTACTATTGTTTGTTGTTTAACGCCGCACTCTGCAATCAATACGTCATGACGATGGCAGTGTTTACTATATTGAATGTACTGTTAACAATCATTAATGTACATCGTACAATTGACTCTACTTTTAGAAGAGATTTCTTATGATTATGGAAACGGTTTTGTCGTATGTATTACAGTTATGGTCCATCACATGTACAAGTATCAACTGCAAACGAACTGATGCTATGTGCATGTTATGGCTATGAATGTTATTCTGTATATATTATTGCAGTGTAGCATATATATGGTGATATCTTATGAATGTGTATATAGTTAATTTTGTATTTTAAGGCTTCCGTGTTTGGTATATCTGGTAGCAATTTGTCAAGTATATAATCTTGGAAACATTAACAGGAGCATTAATGTCATTAATGCTTGGTTAAAGCTGTATTGTAAACTGCCGTGCAAACGAAAGTGTACGCTTGACGAAAAAAGTACAAACGCTATCAAAAAGTAACCAGGCTGAAAACAGTCGCGAACACACAACTATGATACCCGTATCAAAAACATCACCATCAAAGATTAATCATTTCTTGTTTCATTTTTAATCGCCATCAAACATAGGCGTATGCAATACTCAAGTCAGTGACTTGGCAGAGGGCGGAGTTAACATGCAAGGTGTCTCTAAAAGAAGGTGGGGTCCGCCATTGAACGGGCTATAACAGAATCATAATCTCAGCTGTGATCTGTTGGTTTTGTGTCGTTGTATTCGTTTAACATTGTGATGTAGATGCAATATTTATAACGATGACGAATGACACTTCGCATGAATCCTTATGGATATGATCTCAAATCGGTTTTCCGTTTGACTCGAGCTACGGATATTTCGATATACATTTGATAGACAGGTCTTCGAGTTAAAGAGGTTACATGTCACTGTATCAAAACACCAGGTGTTCATGAGATTTTTATGTACTATCTGTGATGAAGAGAAATAAAATCAGTGAATCAGTGCATTTCATATCTGTCTATACGTTGTGCTATACATCGCAGATTGGTGACATTGATACATGTTATAGACGCATTTTATTCATCTTTTTTTTCCAACTAATGTAGCTGAATCCATGAACTATAAGACAGGGCAAAAACGACCTTTGACATCAACCATGAAGACCCCATTATCTGGAACCCAGCATTCAAACACTACGCCAGAATGTAATTCGATTTTGCCAAATCAACCAATATTGTTTTTATTGTACATTACTGTGTTGGAGAGGAATTTTGTTCGTATAAAGTAAATGTTATGCAAATTGTATGCTAAATGGTGTAGAGAGCAGTCTCTGGACGTGTTTTGAAAAACATAACTTGTTTCAGCAAAAACAAAACTGACAAAATTAGTTTGTCCACATGTTTCACAAAAAAAGAATAAACTGTCCTCCAGGAAGAAATGCGTTTTGAAACGGTTGGTGCGTAAGCCATGTCTGTAGACCTAAGAACATTGTTGTTGGACGTTCCAGCAATATCACGGTGGATTGTAAGGGGTTGTTTGGTTGTTTTGTTGTTTAACGCCGCACTCAGCAGTCTTCCAGCTATTTGACGGCGGTCTGTAAATAATCCTGTCTGGACCAGACAATCCAGTGATTAAGTTCATGAGCAACGATCTACGCAATTGGGATCGATGACATGCATCACCCAAGTCAGCGAGCCTGACCACCCGATCCCGTCAGTCGCCTCTTACGACAAGAATGGGTTGCTGAAGACCTATTTTCTACCCGGATCTACCCGGTCATACAAGTCACAGAGTTAAGTCTCTTAGTCCCCGTGTCATTCGGCTCTACGACCAGCAGGAGGAACTGGGCTCCTATTCTGGTCAGGAATACCGCCATCGTGTGACACTATTGAAACGGGCGATTCCATCAACTGAGTACAAACGCGGTACTTTGGCTACGATTTTACTAGCTCTTCGCCAGTTTTTACAACCTGTCCATGTGCCATATCACTCGCAAGCTACACTTCATACTTCCCGTTGGTAAGGATTATCCTGAGTGAGATTGGTTTAATGCTACTTGGAGCAGTATTACAGTTATATATCGACGTCAGAGCTTGATGACGGGGGAAAGCACGAAGTGACACAGTTCACTGATCATTACAATGTAAAACACAAAAGCACAGAAATATTAATGACATACTAATTAAATGATGCCAATATTTAATAATAGTTGGGAGTCATGTTCACGCGGGGGAATGTCCTTTGATGGGCAATTCGAGGAATGTTATTGAATGTCCTTTTATGGGCATCTTCCCGGGGCAAGGGAGTTAACATGTCCGACATGACAAACAAAGGTTTTGCAAGTGGATTTTTGGATTATTTTGTATGAACACATGACTGACATGGATTTAATCCATAATTATTATAAATATGAAAAGACAAACATTGCTTATTACAAATAAACATCCAAGCCATGTCAATACTGTTTTCACCGAGACTTCAACTTAAGAGGATTTGTAAAATCAAAAACAAACAAAAATACTGTCATCCGCATCTGATTTATTTACAAAGTGTGCACCCACACACAATAAGTACTATGTTACAAGACAGAAACTGATCCACAAACATGTTAAATGGAAACTGTGGTTGAATGTTTCCAGCAGTCTGCTGTGATGAAGTCATGTCCTTCTGCTACCGTGTGATTAGGGGTGCATGTACCTGTCCTACCAGGCTCCTCATAGACTTTCATGCCACACACAATCATGGAATAAATATTGGGGGAAAACATAACAGTCCACATGCATATATGTTTCCTATCCATCATGGGACTGGTGACTTATAGGGGTGGGTCAGTGAGAGTAAGGGAGAGGTGGGTTGTCATGAAAACATGACACAGCGAAAGGGGTCGCCAAAAGTTATCACAACTCTAACATTGGGAAAACATGAAAAAAATATCTTAAAGTTCTATTTTGACAAATAAAAAAATCTAATTTGAACAATAAGTAGAAACTGGACAATTATTTCGGGGGAGGGTGGCATAAAAAAGTATTGGGGGAGAGGGAGGAAAACATGAATTTTTTTTACATTAATGGGAGGATCAGCATAATAAGATAGCACATATACTTAGACCACCCCACCCCCATTAAATGACCAGTCCCAAATCTGTGATGTACAGTCATCATTGTACCATTCAAACTTTAGCACTTGGTTTTAATCTACCACACCAGCTTGACATTCTTTTTAAACCTTAACTGGCAGGCATAAACATTTACAAAGTGGTATGTTATTATTTAGTTAAAAGGAAAAAGATCATAATCGCTTACGAGACAGTATTCTTCAGTTACAAATCATCTTGGATGTAGGGTATTCTTATGAGCAAACTGATAGTTCTGCATTGAAACAGGACCTTTGTAAACTTCACACACAAACACATTCCTGAAAGATTGTAGTAAAATGAATTGCACTTCATCTTGTGACAAGTAAGGAGTGTGTCAAGAAAATGAAATCAATAAATAAGACACTTGTATCAGTACAGATGCCACAAACAAGATGCTGTAATTTGTTCTATGGCGAAACATGGTTGTGAAACTTACCAATATTTAAATTTTGTTCAAACTGATCAATAAAGAAATAGTTTTACTTCAAATACTAAATATTTTGTCACAATGTTTTTCAGTTTCAACATGTTCAAATCTTAGCCAAGTTTCCATTTTTGAAAACTTAAATATTTAAGGAATTTAATTATCTGCCAATTTTATTTACTAAAAGTTTCTCCAAAATGTTAATTTTAGAATAAAACCTTACAAACATTATCATGAATGTCATAAATATGACGGAAAATGTGTTGATACCTGTTTCCAGAATAAATAATACAGATCAATAATCATGATATTGAATGAAAATGATATTTATTTCTTCAAAATATCTTCAATTTACAACTACTTATCTCATCAATGACCCACACAGCTAAAAGAGCCACCATGCTATAATTTTCTTCATACAACATATTGCTCCAGTCAATACATTTGGTACTGGAGGGAGACAATAATACGTCCAATGTCCAATGAGTCACAAGTCTTTTGTCAAAGTTCTCGGAGTCAAAAAAACCAAGATGACACAGTGAAGCCATGATTTGATTAGACCTCAACTGTCTCCTAACACGAGTTTCTTGCAATCAACCTTCTACCTCTGCCTCAACCCAGACAGATGTGAGTACCTGCTACATTGTCTGTTCCAACAGGTGAACACACACATCGCTAATACAAATGTAATGATCTTGAATGTCTTGTCATGTGTGCATGCTCAGACATAGTAAACTCCTAGCTGACCAGTCCTTGTTTTCTCTCTTAATGCCGAGTGCCAGGCAGTGTCACAAGAACAATCTTTTAACATCATTTCAAATTACGCAGTTTGGGATCGAATCATAAGCTTCCACTCTCTGAGCAGTCACGCCATCCACCACACCATGGAGGCGGTCATCTATTCACTTCATTCTTGAAAATTTGATATGCATGATAAATATATGTCACGAAATGATTACTATCCGTGAGACAATGTCACAACAGAAACAAACTATTTCCATCTGCACAAGCATCTGCTCTTGTTGGCATACATAACACACAAACAACGAAGTCACTGACCCCGACCACCATATTCGACTTGTCACCTCTGACCAGCACAGGTGGCAGGGGACCTATTCTTACCCGGAATTCACACTGTGTTTAATCTGTATGGAGTGAGTGAGTTGGGTTTAACGCCACTTTTAACAGTATTCCAGTTATATCGCGGCGTGTCAGCTTAATGTGGGAGGAAAGCCCGAAGTGATGCAGGTCTAAGACTTTTACCATTTTGGTGAAACCCACAAGCACGGGTATGGTGCTGACAAACCTAGAAACATAATCGGGGTGAACCAGGATTCGAACCCACAATCATAGGTTTCTGGCGTGCCCAAGGGACGCAACTCTGCATAGCGAATCACAGCGCTTTAGATGACTGGGCCACCCGTGCCCCCAATCTGTATGGATATATTAATTATTATACTTCCCCCTGGGATAGGTATTGAGAGAGTGAGTTAATATTTAACGTCACTAGATCTTGAGCATAGTCTCAAAAATTATTCACAAGATTTAAAGAACACCATTAACAAAATTCAGAAATGTTTTGTCATGTTATATGCAAATTAAATAATAACAGTGGAGTAATACTAAGGGACTGCTAGGCCAGAGTGTGAGAACATGTGTTGGCAGTTCCTGAGTTTCAAATGCAGAGTTTTGAGACATCTTTTTGAGATGAGATTTGGGGAAGGTTACACATTCACTGCAACAGCCAATACAAGCTGATCAGAAACTCAGACTTGGTCAGTTCAAACTCTCCCGAGATTGCAATTGTAGAGGTAAGTTGTCCATGGTCCGTCCTCCAGAACCAAACTGTCTTGTTGAAATATCCCCCGACCTACGTGTGTCAGTTGGACCCATTGTTGGCAGATGCTGTGTCTGTCTTGGGCATCTCCAGCGATGGCCAGCTGAAGTTCTCCGCCTTCCTCAAGTTGATCTCCACCTTGGTGCCCAACATCTTCACGCTGCTCCTGGCTGGGTCTATCACCTGCAGGCATACAGAGGGCTTTGTTAGTTTGTTGTTTAACAGTTGTTTCGCATCACACTCATCAAGATTCCTATATGACAGCTACCTCTAAGTAATCTAATCTCTGACGACAAGCACAGGTTGCTAGGGACCTTTCCTAACCCAGAATGGCCACAGGGTCAGGGGAGGGGAGAGTAAGTGTGTGACTGTTGCATGTCTAACATGTCAATATTCGCCTATACATAGCAGTATTTATATAACCAGAAGCTAGCCAGGACATGCAGGACATGCAGGATACAAATACACAATATTCCAGCAATATCACGGCGGGGGACACCAGAAATGGGCTTCACACATTGTATCCATTTTGGAATAACAGTGACTGAAATGGACAGGCACACCATGATCAGGGCATGCAGTTTAATGCAGAAGATGCAGGTCCTATATCCTTACCGCTTTCCTGAAACCCATGGAAACAGTTATGGTACTGATGAATCAAGAATTTGTCTTCAGGGTAACAACAATCAAAGAATCCTGGCTCGCTAAAGGGACTTATATCAACCGGACCCCCTGTGCCCCCTCATATTACAATAAAGGGTGTAGATGTCGTTTTACTTACGTCTCGGAGAACAAATTCCTTTTCAAATATACTCTTCCCACTGTCAAACACTATGTGAACTTTTAGGAAGACTTGGTTGGCTTCTATGAGAGAAAAGTCAGGATTGGCCACCTTGGCGAACACAGACAGACACACATTGGGCCCTGTTTGATGCCAGTCAAACCTGCACGCCTTCAACTCCCCTCCTGCTGCCTGCAACATCAGACATAATCAGACAGTGTCAAACATCAGACAGTGTCAAACATCAGACAGTGTCAAACATCATCAAGCAGTGTCAAACACCATTCTGACAGTGTCAAACACCATTCTGACAGTGTCAAACATCATCAGACAGTGTCAAACACCATTCTGACAGTGTCAAACATCATCAAGCAGTGTCAAACACCATTCTGATAGTGTCAAACAACATCAGACAGTGTCAAACATCATCAGACAGTGTCAAACACCATTCTGACAGTGCCAAACACCATTCTGACAGTGTCAAACATCATCAGACCGTGTCAAACACCATTCTGACAATGTCAAACACACGATGTTTTAGCAATATGTTTGCCTCAGATGGCCCCATGCACCACATCGTCAGGGACGTCAGATGGCGGCACCACATGTGCCTGTAGCATGGACGTATCATCACCGGCAAGAGTAGGTGAACACTGACATACAAACGTGACCTCATACACCGGAAAAAAATATTGAGGGGATTCTAATTTGGAATTTATGTTGGTGTTTGGTATGCATGTTTTTCACAGAAATTCAAATCACTATGATAAATCAAACAGAGATATCCTCATTAATCAGTCATCTCTCCGGTTGACAAGGGTAGACACTTCTTATAACTTCTTTTTGAGGACACCTTGGTATTTACAGTTTTCTCTCAAGTGACAGCCAAATACTGATTTCCCCAACTTCAAAGCATTATAAAACAAAAAATAGCTGCTATATATCAGGGTTTTACCTTGACCTACAAAACTAGAGGTCCAGGGAGCCCTTAAAGCAATGAAATGGTGTAGTAAACAGTAATGTAATATTTAATTACAGGACCTAATATTTTACAAGAATTCGGATGCAATAGATAATTTTTTCCACATCCATTCTAGACACCTGTACATACTGGACGCACATTTCTGTATTGTGCAAAGCCCTGATATACAACATATATGACAACTCCAGGACTATATCACATACAGCTCAGTTCTCACCCCAAATCCCCTTGGATTGGGGTGCTAGGTTGGTTGGTTGGTTTGTTGTTTAACGCCGCACTCAGCAATATTCCAGCTATATGACGGCGGTCTATAAATAATCGAGTCTGGACCAGACAATCCAGTGATTTACATCATGAGCATCGATCCCAGCAATTGGGACCGATGACATGCATCAACCAAGTCAGCAAGCCTGACCACCCAATCCCGTTAGTCGCCTATTACGACAAGCATAGTCGCCTTTCACGGCAAGCATGGGTTGCTGAAGACCTATTCTACCCCGGATCTGCAGGGGTCTGGGGTGCTAGGAGAGTGGTGTGCCAACCTACCTGTGGCTTGATCCAGCGGTGCTTCCCTGTCTCACATCCCACCTGATTCAGGAAGCTGTCAAAGTCGGACGTCTTCCTCATACAACAGGACCAGTACTTCATCCTAGGACAAACAACATGTGATATCAACCACAGAAGTCAGGCGATTAATTTACTATTGTTGTCAAATTCATTGTAGTCAACTACTTTGGACAACTATCATATCTATCAGGAACAGGAAAACAACGTCTTGTTATGAGGCACTACATTAGCTATGAACTTGTGAAGATCCGGGGTAGAATAGGTCTTCAGCAGTCCATGCTTGCCGCAATAGGCGACTATGCTTGTCGTAAGAGGTGACAATGCTTGTTGTAAAAGGTGACTCTGCTTGTCATGGAGGCGACTATGTTTGTCATAAGCGGCGTGGAACAGGATCGGGTGGTCAGGCTTGCTGACTTGGTTCATGCATGTCATCAAATCCCAATTGATGCTCATGATGTCAATCATTGGATTGCCTGGTCCAGACTCAATTACTAGTGTTTAATAGACCGCCATCATATAGCTTGAATATTGTTGAGTGTGGCGCTAAACAACAAGCTACATTAGCTATGGCTGCAATATATTTTGTTCTATAACATTTATTATCTCACCCGCAGAGAAGATATCACCTGTTTGTGATCAAGCAATGCCATGATTAATATCTAGTATATTGGTATAAGGTTCAAAATTTATCTATTAACTATTACAAAGTAACAAAATACTGAAATATTTGACTAATTGGAATTTGACTTATTAAGCTCACAAATAAACATGATAAACTTAATACATATTGATTATACATACTGTTCATAATAAATATAGTTTTGAAAATTCTTCAGGACATTTTGGAGAAGTAAGTATACATTTAAACTAAACACAGATCTATCTCAACCTCCAACATCCAGCCTCAAAGGAATCCAATGTTATGGTAGTTTAACCAACTCTAAGAATAATTCCGAACATTTCCTAATTCAGTGCATGCACACACTGAGAAGTGAAGGATTGGCTGGCGCTGCTCTCTCCTGCTACCATTCACTCTACCCTTGAAGCAACCCATGCTTGTCATAGGAGGCAACCAACGGGATCAGGTGGTCAGGGTCGCTGACTGGGTTGATGCATGTCATCGTATCCCAATTGCGTGGATCAATGCTCATGATGTCGATCACTGAATTGTCTGGCCCAGACAAGATTATTTACAGACTGCCGTCATATAGCTGGAATAGCTTTAAACAAACAAACAAAACATTATCTCAGTTTACACCAAGCCCAGTTTGCCCTTTTCTCAAAACAGTTTTCACATGTCAATCTTGTTCCTATTTGATGACGCACCCTTCATGGAAGATGGGCACCCCGGGGTGAAATGTGCAGGTCTCACTGTCACTGGCCTCACCCTCGTAGGTCTGGAACACAGATGATACACGACTATACAGGGGAAATACAGCATATCCCTTTCACTGGCCGCAGACCAGGAAGTCAGTGAAGCACCCTATAAAATCCCTTAAGCTCATAAGAAGTTGGGCACATTCTTTGCAACTTGTACATGTTGTAAACAAAATATCCACATAGATCATGATAATGTTGTGAGGTTAAAAGTATTTTGGCATCTGAAAACCAGGAACTATAGCACAATTTTCTTGAAATACAGGACCAACATATGCCATTCATTGTGAGACGTATATGAGACAAAATCACCCTTGAATGTTTACAGTGATGAGAAAAAACATGCAGAAGTAATCTGTAGCTGAAGACAACTTACACCTTTACAGGAATTGTTTGTGCAGCTTGTTCCGATCTTCACTGTGCCATCAGCTGTCTCTGAAACACACAAGCAACACAGACGTAGTAAACAGTCTAGTCCAATAGAACAGGGATAACAATAAAACAACCATTTTGAGCCTGAAAAAAAACACCAAATAAATAAAAAAAAACAAAAAACCAAAAAAAAAAACCATGAAATACTATCCCCCGCCAATGACATGTTTGGTTGCTATGGAAACCAAGTTTGGTGAATAAATATTGTACGGTTTTCAAGATCTGCTTGGGAAAGGAGCACTACTACTATTTGCAGTCAAAGTCAAAGTCGTTGCCATGGAAACTCGAAAAAAAAATATTAAACAAATCCCAAACTATCAAAAAGCACCAGTTCACACTTAGACCTATCTATGTACCTGGTTTGGCTAAAATATCTCTCATGTTTTTTTAGTTCTACTTCAGAAACAAAACGTGATGGAAAGACAGACAGAAGGACGGATGGACCGACAGCACCCATTCCTATATCCCCCTTCCTCTTTGTGGTGGGGGAAAATAATAGTTGTTCAATTGCTTTGTGATTATTTTTCTCAGTACATGCTCTCATGAATCAACCAAACCTGAGGTTACTGGAGTTGACAGACATATTTAGCCGGAAATTGTGATTGACAGCACAAGCAACAGTTCACGTCATTGGGGCATGACCACACACATGCAACCAAGTCATCGAACCTGAGGTGAGGTGAAACGGGGTGTTTAAGACAGTTGCACTTATATAACGACGTACATGTACATGTGAGTGGCTGCTTGTACTAGTCCGGACTGATGCTGATTTATAGTGCTAGCTCCCTGAGATAACATGCCGCAGTTTAACATGAATACCCCACTCAGACACAGTGTACTGACTCCGAGCCGACCAGTCCTGCTTGTACTAGTCCGGACTGATGCCGATTTATAGTACTAGCTCACTGAGATAACATGCTGTAGTTTAACATAAACATGAAAAACACCCCCACTCAGACACAGTATACTGACTCCCAGCCGACCAGTCCTTGTTTTAACCCCTTTATGGTGAGCGCCAGACAGGGTAACAACAAGTGCCATTTTTAACGTCTTTTGGTATGACGCTGCCGGGGATCGAACCACTGACATTCAGCTCTCTACTGGCGTCCTATTCTTCCCTGGAACACCCACTGGGTCATATGATGGCTACATATAGACAATGTATATAGACAATATAATATTTTTAATAACAAATCTACAATTTCACAAATGAATGTTAATCATGCCCATCATTTTCCACATACCTCCTGCAGCATCTTTGTCCTCGTCTTCCTCCAGGGTGAGCCGCTCCAGGGCCGACTTCAAGGATGCTCCCACTGTCAGCTTCAGCTTCGTCATGGGTTCATCAACCGACGGTCGATTGTTGGCTGTACGCGGCTTGATGGGATCTCTCTGTCTGGGGGCTTCTACCACCATCTGACCCACAGAAGGACAAACACATTATCCAAATTATCTGTGGGGTGGGTGTAGGACCGACCATACAATCATTTCAATAACAATGTTACCTCTTATGTTTTCTTTCTACCAATAGAGAAGAAAAATATGTATAAAATGTATACCATATATACCAAAAATACAGTGCTCACAAACTTTAAATTTAATGTTGTATCGAGCAGCGGTAGAAACTAACATTTTTAGCCCACTAGTCCTTATAATGACAACATATATCAAAAATCTTAAAAATAGCAAATTTCTACTTGTCCGTATGATACCTTAACTATTGGGCAGTTTGGCAAGGACTACAGGACCAGTGCCAGTTTCTAACGCTGTTGAGGAACTTGGTGTTGAAAACAGAAACAAGGTAATCAAGGAATCCAAACTAAACTGCCCTTGGTCGACAAAGTGGGAAACAAATCATCCTTGTGCTCAATATTCGGATTTTCTGAACATGCAAAAGTTCTCACTTTCTTAAATCAGGGTGTATTTTACTCATGCATTCTCTGCATTGCATTCAATGCAATAATCAGAAACTAAGCATTAAAGCCTCTTCCTTCTTATGTTGTTTTTGCCATGTACGTACACTCTCTACAAGGTGGCAACATCAGTAATAACTAGATTAGTGAGTGAGTGAGTTGGGTTTAACGCCGCTTTTAACAGTATTCCAGTTATATCGTGGCGTGTCAGCTTAATGTGGGAGGAAAGCCCGAAGTGATGCAGATCTCAGATGTTTACCACTTCAGTGAAACCCACGAGCACGGGTATGGTGCTGACAAACCTAGAAACATAATCGGGGCGAACCGGGATTCAAACCCACAATCATAGGTTTCTGGCGTGCCCAAGGGACGCAACTCTGCACAGCGAATCGCGGCGCCTTAGACGACTGGGCCACCCGTGCCCCCGATAACTAGATTAACATGAACTGGAAAGATAGCTTGTGGAATGGGGTCCAGTTGTGATCAAAAGGCAATACAAATGGTCAGAGCTCAATATAAAAATATCGACAATAAATCAACATTACCCAAATAATTTTAAAAACTGTAATATCCCATTGTATCCTTTTTAACTTCTGCATCTGCATTTCTTTACAGATTCTTACTGTCTCATCGAATGCAGGCATCACACATACATGTATATGAGTTCTAGTCTACAGCAAAAAAATCACATAAAAAAGGCACTACATTTTCGGGTCTCAAATTATATTTTTTCCCCAAGGAGCCATTGGCTCCTAACAATTGTTTTCATTGAGCCAATGTGAAATTCAAGAAACAAGGTCAAAAATTAAGGAGCCAAACTTCAACGTGAGTAATGTATAATAATGTTTAAAGCATATCAAATCTGACAAACTGCAGCAATACTGATTCCTACATTTTGTCTTACAATCTGTGTAAATACTTGACAAGATTATTGATTAATTTTTAACTTACAATTCCCATGTTGATCAGTAGAATTTTTAGAATGAAAGCCGATCAGTATCAACGTTAGAAACTAACATTTTTAGTCCACTAGTCCTTATAATGATAACATATAGCAAAATCCTTCAAAATGGCAAATTTCTACTAGTCCTGGATACCTTAACTCTAGGGCAGTTTGGCAAAAACTACAGGACTAATGCCAGTTTCTAATGCTGAGTAAGTATTAATGTATTGTAACAATATACTATGCAGTAAGTAATAACAGGTCGACGGCTTGATTTTTCGAAGTCGTGGAATTTTCAATCGCCATGGTGACCAACTTAGTTGCAACTTTGAGACATCATCTTGCCTATCAACAAGATGATCAATACCCACTGTGAATGCCAACATATGAGTAAATACTCAATAGCTAAAAAAAATAGCTGCAGCAGGGTCGGTACCAGGGCTGGCTATCCATAGATATAGATTATAGAGATGGATAATCGCTAACTAAATATTGATCAATTATCCCTAAATATCGGAGTACTTTTAACAAATGTTTAAGCGAACATCCACGAAAGTCCCGAAAGAAACCAACATATTTCACGCCACTGGTGAGCAATGACACATTTACGCATAGATTACTTTGTGGACATTTGAGATATAACAAAAACAGTCTTTCTGTCTTCGACAATTGAAATTATTGACAATAACAAGTCTCTTTTGGTAAATCTAAACTTTATTTCACCACAATAGTTTATGTAAGTTATCATCGATGACAATTTCATATCGATAATCGTTAATATTTCTTCCTGTTGATGATAATTCCCATTATCGATGTTTTTAGCCACCCCTAGGCGGTACTCACCACATCCCCGGGATTCTCTGTCTTTGGTTTCTTGGGCTCCACTGGTTTAACATTACTGTGTGCACCCTTCGTGCAGCCCTGTTCGATAGAACAAAACATGAAACAAACAGTGCCAAGAACATCGATACTGTACAGTACTACAGAACATACTGTTTATAACATTCTCTACAAGCGTGTCCCAATATAAAAAATCAAACAGGCATTTCATCATGTTCATGGAGAATGTGAAATAATACCAAAGTTTTAAGTTTTTCTGAAGAGCCATTGCCCCTCACAGCTTTTTTCAGCATTATTCAGGGAATAAATATGAAGTCCAAGGAGCGAGGGACATATTTACAGTGAGAAAACCTCAAGATAATGGCCAGTGATATATAGATATAACACTGTTAAAACATCATTAATTCCTAGGATTTACACAAATCATAACCAAATGTATCATACTTCGATTTCTAAGTTATTCTTCTAATAATACCGTATTCGACGTTATTTGCTAACATATTGGCTAGTGAACAATCCCAATTAGAACCCCTTCCGATTGATCAATGTACACAAGACTTATTTATTCGCGTATAATACGTACTCATGTGTTATATGCACCTTAATTATGGGCAATTAAATTCTGGAAATATATATCTGTCGTATATACATGATATAAACATTTCAGGCTGTCAGCATAAACAACGAAATTTATCTCTCAACTCTGTTTTTTCCCCACCAAAATAATATTCTAATAAGAGCCCCCATATTTCTAATTTTGAGAGCGTCCTGGGTGCTTATCACGTCGAATATGGTATCAGGTTTCCAGTTCATTTTTAAATGATATGGGTTGCCAATAGGGCTGCAACGATACACCTAAGTCACGATACGATATGTATCTCGATACTTACATCACGATTCGATACGTATCTCGATACGCTACGAAACATATTGTGACAAGAGAAGACAAGAGATAAATGAATATAACTTAGTTTATTAAAATGAAAAATTAAATGAAAGTGAATGAATGTTCATGAGTCATAAAATATATACTGTAATGAGTAATTTAACTTAATAAATCATCTGTGATTTCCATGTAATGGCTAGCAAACACAAAAGTAACAGTCCTACATATTTGGAAGTTGTGACTAGATGGTAGGAGTAAATACTAAATGTACCAGTGTCCAGTAACTAATGATTTGCCATTTTCATGTATAAAGGCAAAAAACAATTAAAAACAATTATAGCAACAGCCATGTTATACAACATTTGAAAGGTCTAATCCTGGTGTTTATAAATATGAAAGTTATGTTTATCACATTATTTAAACAATGCATTGACAACTTAATTAAGTTCGTTGTAAATTATAAAAAATGTAAGCTAACACATTCATAACGTCCAAATTAAGGACCAAAGAAGCGAAAATTTGACGATTTGGGGCAAATATAAGATTTCAAAAGATCTACTTATCATTTCTTTTTTATTTTCATTATTTATTTATTTATTTATTTTAAAATATTTTTAAAAGAATTATGAATAGTATCTGTTTTCACCCATTTCCGGATAACAGCGGCTGTCCACTCAGTAACATGAAGAGATACCTCCGTTTTTGAAAGCTTCGTATGAATAACACGTTCGTCGAAGAAAGCTTGTTTGTTCATCTACACGCTCGTGACATTGCCTGGAGTCTTTTCGTTGCTATAACATCAGATTTCATCGGATAACAAATTGTTTCTAACGACGCTTTCTTGTCGAAATCTGCTACAAGGTTCATGATTGGTCAAATTGAGCACGTGACTTGAGGCAGGCAATCAAATTACAAATCCTCCATTCGTGACCAACTCGTGTTATTTCTTGCAGGTTACGGAAAGGGACGAGTGGTGACGAATGACAAATCCTCGTGTACGATGAATTTCAGATTTTTACGAAATATTTTGGTTAAATCGTGTTATTCTGAACGTTTTAAGCAGGAAATCGCGATCTATATTAAAAATATGGAGCTTCGTGGATGTATCATTTTAGGTTACAAGCTGTGACAAAGATTTTTCATGCATATATTTTGGCATTGAACATCGTGTCCGAGCCGAGAAATCGAGGCGACGAAAGCCGAGATGTCATTTGACTAACATTACACGCGATCGCATGAAAAGATGGAAATAATAACTTAGCTGTAAGTTTGACCACTTTTAGATATATTTTTATTGCTTTTATTTATCACTTTGTATAACATATTTAAAGATTTGCTTGAAACGTCTTTGTTTTGCTCTTTGACATGTTCGATGTGCACCCGTTGTCGAAGTGTGAGTCCGAGAATGATATTTTCAATGACATTGCGGGAAATAGTGAATAACTTTTTAATCTATCGATAAAAAATGATAAATTGAAATAGAATACGTATTTCAGACATTGTGAGATGTGATAGATTTAATAAATGAATGGTATGACAGGTAGGTTCTTAAAACTATATACTATTTTGACGTGACTACGGCTTGGCCGGTTTACCGGCCTACGGCATTGAAAGAGTTAAAACACATTTAAAACGTATCCGTGATAAAAGTTTATTACAAAATACAAGACGTACATATATACGTCTTTGAAAAAACGTATCGTGAAAAATCGAGATTCAGCACCTCACAAATCGCACACCGTATCGTATGGAGTGAATCGCGATGCATCGGTGTCCCGGGATATCGTTTCAGCCCTAGTTGCCAATGGGAGGCCTGCTACCCATGGTGGGGCAGTGTTGCTGGCTGCTTTCCTTTTTTTACTTGAAAATCCAGCAGATACTGAACAGACTCACCCATTATAAGCTTAATGTGAGAACACTTACACATATACAAGTAACCATGGTAACTGACAGTTTCCAGGTTTTGTATTCAATTGAAACTTGAAGACAATGGATAAGAAAAGACAAAGAAACATAGCATTATCAGTGACTAAATATATGCCATAAGCAATGTCATTTGACACATATCATTTTTCACAACTCTTTGATGTTTGCCTGACGGTCTTCATTGTCTTAGTAGACTTTAGTATACATTGTAGAGTTCAGGGTGTCGTTGTACAAAACAACCTTAGTGCTATGACTGTCCTAAGTCTATGTTAAGGAAAGGGAGTTACGATCACCTTAGCGCTAAGATCGCCTTGTACAACGGCACCCTGGGTTCCAGATACGTGTTTGAGCCAGTAAGCATTTATTTGTTCACAAGTTATCACTCACATTGGCTATTCATAGTTTTCTTTGATATTCAATACATTTTTACACCCCTGGGTTAAGTCTACTGGGTAGCTTTACACCAATGAGCAGACATTTTTAAAAATAATTAAGATCAAAATGCTGCTTCAGGTGACTTTAACTTTGCACCTGTTCATGTTTTTTCCAAACCATTTAGTTCTTTTTTGTGTGTGTAAATTATAGGGCCCCTCGTGGCTATTATCACCATAATCATGATTACATGTGTACTTTGTCTATGTTCGAGCAAGGATGCTAAGACAGCTGCAAAGGGTGCATTCAACACCGTGGAATGGGATCCATTGCTCAGAGGATGCATTAACAAGACTCAGGGCTTAAGACTATTAACTACAGTACAGTCAAGTCCCGTTAATCTGACAAGGTTGGTTGCATATGATTATGTTGGATTAACAGGTATGTTGCAGAGCTCCAGATAACTTTTTTAGCAATTGAATTTTTACTCTAGAGTTTCTATTTTGACATGTTTAAATGGGTTATTACATTTTTCAAACCCCCTCCCCCCTCCAAATTCAACCACGCCCACTAACCAAGCTTACAGACTACTGTTAGCTGATTGATGATAACAGAATGGGCATGGCCTACATTGCATTAATGTGATGTCACCGATTTTACACCGTCGTCTAAAACATTTTGTGCGTCAATGATTAAATAGGCAGTCAGTGAAGTTATTACTATATGAATTTGTATATAAGAGTAACTATGGTTACTCACCGGGTAGTTGAGGAACATGGTGAAATCTGTGCTCCTCTTGTCACAGCAGGACCAGCCCTTCAGGGCGTCGTGGAACACCGGCTCTCCTGGGTGAAATGTACATGCATCTGCAAGAGATAGAGGCCTACGTGAACTGATGGGTTCAACGCCCTGTAATATGAGTGAGTGTTGGGGGTTCACTCAGTATTTCACTGAATATCATTGCATGTAAGCTGAGTGGGAGGAAAGCGAGGGCTGGGACGGGTAGTTCAGGTATTCGGGTCAGATAGGTACTGAGTAGGACAGGGGTACACACAGGACTACCCGGACCCATGGTTGGTCAAGTGATATATTGTTTAATGAGAAAAATTCACTCATATAACATATGACTCCATGGTTACGGACAAGTTGCTGATGCTCGCATATCTTTCTGACTGTAAGCGCATTCCTTCTGACGTTTATATGTTTTAGTAAAGATACAGCTTCAGTCAACTTCAGTGTATGTATGACCAGACTGTTTATACTTGTTTCTGAATACTTTTAGTCAGGGGTCAAGAAAAAAACATTCCTAATCAGACATTTTGTACCCAATTATTGAGACCTACAGCGGGTATCGAGGCAGGGTAGGGTAACAGGGGGCTGGGTACCTGGGTAATAAAGTTGGACTCATCCCAGCCCTGGAGAACATGGAGAAGAGGTTTTGTTTCCCTATGGATATTCCTAAAAGGCATTGACCCACAGTTCCCCAGAGGGCATGGGTTTCTCAGAGGTCTAAAACATCTCAATTCTCTGTGTTTCACGCCAGAAACTTATGATCGTGGGTTCAGATATGGTTCTAGGTTTGTCGGCACCATATCCGTGTTTGTGTGTTTACCAAAGTGGCAAACATCTGAGACATGCATCAACTCCAACATGTGGCCACATCAAGTTGAAAGGCTGTGATATCACAGGGATACTGTTCAAGACATTGTTAAACCCAACTCACAGTTCCTCATGCTTGTCCCAGATGAAGGAGAATGTGATGGGCAAAATACAATCTCACTTTATGAAATACTAGTAATATTACTATGACAGGATATTCTACTTTATCATATAATGGGTAGGTTTCTCGGCAGGATAAAGCCAACGGATAAAAACGATATCCGTTGGGATCATATGCGGATAGAGATGCAAATATCAAAGGTCAAGTAGGGACTACTTTCACTGTTTATAAACAAACATGGCGTCACCCTCGTCATTTCGCGATCGAGTCAGAATTAACCATCGGGAATGTGGATAAACTACAGGGATAATTGCTGTCATTATCAAAAGAACAGTCTAATATACTGAAAATCAGTGTCTAACTGTGATGTAGCTAAGGCATTTTATAAGTTTTGACTTTGGAGATATAAATTTCGAAACAATTTTGCGAGGACACGAGGCCTAGCCAAGCGGGATCAGTATCCATATCTGTGCTTGTAGACCTCTGCGGCTTGAAACCTTCTCCACAAATTAAAATAGTTGGATTTGGCCGAAATATGTTTGAATTGTTACCTTGTTTCGTTTTCTCGCTGTGTGTACATCTGACTACACTTCTTAACGTTATGACAAGACAGACCGACTGTCAACAACGTCTGACCGTGGCCGTTTCATAGACTAGGGTTAGAGTATCTTCCCTTTGACAAAGGACAGTTACTCTAGCGGACAGACCGATGGATTGCTGCGAAAGGCAATTACAAAAAAACAATTGTTATTTTGCGTATATATTGCTTCGCCACTGTATAAGAAACAGATTTCAGTTGGAACTATATTGGCTACTGTCACTGTCCGACTGACACATCACTTACCCTGTGACGTAATAAATATTAATGCGCGCATTTCAGGAAAACTCGCAATGTTTCGGTAATGTTTGTGAGAGAGGGAAAGCGATTTTGAAGCACAGAATTAAAGAATGACATTAAATGATAAAGAGGTTATCATGCTTGTGTGTTTGGGAATGGTAAATACCCTGTATTAGGAATAAACACTATGTATTTAGCTTGCCAAGGCTCGCTAAATACAATGTTTATTCCTAATGCAGGATATTTACCATCCCCAAACACACTCGCGTATTAACCTCTCTGTAACATGCTATACCATTACTTAGCAAAACTGAAAAATATCTTTAGTATGTTAAGGACATCTCTGCTTTTCTTGGCCTATGTTTGATAATGAACAGCCTCCACAACATAGCTGGAATATTGTTGACTATGGTGTAAAGAGTGCAGGCTAAAATGGGACCTCAGCAAAACGTCACCGATTTCTCTGGCGAAAACGGCACCACATTTGGTGAAAACGGCTACGATGTGTCGGGCAAAAACGGCACCTCTATTTTTAATAACGATAAGAACGATTTTTGTAGTAATATAGATGGTTTATTTACATGGTATTTCCTGTTTCCACAGATGAGTACATATAGAGAATCTCCCCCGAGTGTCTTTTGATATCAAATATATCAACACGAATTGATAAAAGTAGAAAAAGTCCGATTTTTTGTGGTTGTTAGAGACGATGTGAGTTTAATTTCAATTATTTTTCTTCAAAGCATGCTATCATGTTTTCACAAGAAGTTGAGTTGCGTATAAGCTAAGTTGGATTATAGTTGGAGTAGAGGCTAATTTCTAAACTTGTTTTAACATCTCACAATTATTGGTGTTTGCAAGTTACAATGTAAGTTTAATATCATTTATTTGACCAAGGTAAAAAAACAAAAGGTGCCGTTTTCGCCCGGTGACGTTTTGCTGAGGTACCGTTTTCGCCATAACCCAGTGTAAAACAACATTCACTCATTCAGATTCTCACGGGCTTCCTTTGACATGTTCATCCCATCAATTGCTTATGTTTATAACTAACAGCTTATATCAGCATGTTCTGAGAGAGAAGATTCATCTGAAGGATACAAGACGGAGGAAACAGGCGACAGATATCTGAGATCAAAGACAGAAACTAGAACTTTATAAATGAAAGTAGAAGCGTCGAGTTATCATTCTTTGAAGGAAGGATGAACAGATACCATAGAGATGAAAATTGTGTGAATCATAACTCGAGTGAAACAACGATAGCAGTTAAACCAAAGAACAAGGCCTAAACGGCCAGTGTTAGTGTAAAATCACGAATTTACAAGCACACGTTGCACTCCTTCGTTTACCAACTGATTACGCACGTCCAGGGACGATCCTTACCCTCGGAGTTACTTTGTGGGTCAAACTTCTGACCACATCCTTTGTTGTAACACTGCACTTCAGCCATAGTAACCAGGTTCAAGAAATAAACACCGATTTCCTGGTGAAACTTCTAGAAGTCTTTTCTCACGTGGAAATCACTTCCGCCGGTCTCAAACGACAACAAACCATCGCCCTCTGTCGGCGAATCAAGGGGAGATAAACCAACAAGACTCCAAGTGGGACGCCTGAAATCATGTTTTTCAGATTAGCCAACTCGTTTCAATATGTCAGAGACCATATAATATTATAATATCTGGTTATGTGCATCTGTAACTGTGTTTCTTTTGGTTATGATGACCTTCTGTTTTGAAACAAAATTATTGTCTCTTGATGATCTGGTGGCAGGCTGTACACGTTTGGTTGAATTTGATATTTATTTTTATTCACGAAACTGGCATAACATATTGATAGCTGATCGTAGTCAATTTGTGTGTTTATTAATTTAAAGTTGATTTGCAATTAAGGCCTCATCGTCAAAAGTACATACATTTTGTGTACTTAAATTATTAAGTAATGTTTCCAACGTGCACAGTGCGACAAATTTTATAATTAGCATTTACATCACTTAAAACCAAAACATAAAGATTTCTCTTGAGATTACGTGCAACATCCTTGGTGTGTTTAATGGTGGAAGTAAATATTCTGACACTGCGAAACTTACAGACAGACAATGACATTTACTGACAGACATCGAAACTTAAAGACCTGTGTTGATTAAATTTTCTGGGCTATCGTGCTCAGTTCAGAATATCCGGCCTGTGTTCAGTAAAGTGCCACTGTGGTTGTCATTGACCTTAATGTCATTTCACAACGTAAGAAATTAGTAACGGCGTTAGGAATTCAGGTTTTGTATAACGGATTTCTTGGTGAAAGGTATGAAGTTTTTGGGTTAAATGTCATTATACAGATGGCACTTGTAGCCTCGCGCTCGTGGATAATACAAGGACTGATCGGCTCGGAGTCAGTATAATGTGTCTGAGTGAGGTTTCAATGTTAATCTTCGGCAAAGTTTGTTTCTTTGTTGTTTAACGCCGCACCCAGCAATATTCCAGCTATATGGCGGCGGTCTGTAAATAACCGAGTGTGGACCAGACAAACCAGTGATTGACATCATGAAACTGGCATTAGTCCAGCCACACACACACACACACACACACACACACACACACACACACACACACACACACGGAGCACACTTCGTAAGTGTACTTTGTCGCAAGATATGTGCAATAATATTGAACGCGACGTTAAACCCAATTTCCCCACCTCCAGTTATAATTGATGGTAAATACTTAGCACCTATACTCTAATGGTCCACCCTCAGCCAGAGTCCTGTAGTAATAGACAGTCACTCTAATGTTACACAACACAGCCCGCCGCCACACAGAGGCGGTAACCGAACACCGACGTACTGTGCGTCTTAAGCCACACATGTTTTAGTTTCTAGTTTTCGGTTTTTCTGCTAATCAATCAGTTTAGGTAGGCTGGAATAAATGTATATTTGTGGAGTTCAATACCATTTTTATCATATTTGGCATTCATTAGTTATTGTTTTTCAATTTAGTAGAACAATTACTTGGTAAGTTGTTTTACTGTAACGATGTTTGATATCTTTGTAGAGCGGTAATATTAACGAGTGAACTTGGTCAATAGGGCTTTAAATACTACATCTGTACGTTGTTTTTCTTTAAGTTCGTGGGGGCACGGGTGGCCCAGTCGTCTAAGGCGCCGCGATTCGCGATTCCCTTGGGCACCTATGTTTGTGGGTTCGAATCCCGGTTCGCCCCGATTATGTTTCTAGGTTTGTCAGCACCATACCCGTGCTCGTGGGTTTCACCGAAGTGGTAAACGTCTGAGACCTGCATCACTTCGGGCTTTCCTCCCACATTAAGCTGACACGCCGCGATATGACTGGAATACTGTAAAAAGCGGCGTTAAACCCAACTCACTCACTCACTCTTTAAGTTCGTGCTGTTATGTACCTACGCTGCACTCACTGTCACATATCGCCGCTCGCTGTCACCTGACTGCCGCTCTCAACCCGGTTTGAAAGCACGTGATCAAAATTCAACGATGACGTTTATGGCTAGCAAAGTGGATATTTCACGAAAATCGCATTTTGTATTTTTTATCACTACTGTAAGTAATATAATTCCTTATCGAATGGCTTGTTTTCACTTTATAAGTATCAGCACACATGCAGCTATCTTCATTTATTAATCATCGCGATATTTCGTGATTCCATTTCAAGTGGCGAGGGCTATAGTCTGGACCAAAGCCGTTTCATAGTGCCAACCCACTGAGCTACAACGCCGAAGTTTATCATGGAAACCCAACTCAGACACAGTATACTGACTCCGCGCTGACCAGCACTATCTTTAACGTTGTTTGGTATGATGCCGCCAGGGGATCGAACCACTGACCTTTCGCTCTCCGGACAGTCGCTCTATCCTCTCCACAACGGCAGCGGTCCGCCTTGTTTCAAGAAAGTACTTTAGGATTTGTATCAGTATATAACTTTTTGGGATGAATATATATACCTTGTTCCCGCCTTTCAAAATCTAATTTATACCTTGTTCTCGCCTTTCAACATCTAATTTATACCTTGTTCCCGCCGTTCAACATCTAATTTATACCTGGTTCTCGCCTTTCAACATCTAATTTAATCCTTGTTCTCGCCTTTCAACATCTAATTTGTACCATGTTCCCGCCGTTCAGCATCTAATTTATACCTTGTTCTCGCCTTTCAACATCTAATTTATACCTTGTTCCCGCCGTTCAACATCTAATTTGTACCATGTTCCCGCCGTTCAGCATCTAATTTATACCTTGTTCTCGCCTTTCAACATCTAATTTATACCTTGTTCCCGCCGTTCAGCATCTAATTTATAGCATGTTCCCGCCGTTCTGCATCTTATATATACCTTGTTCACGCCTTTCAACATCTAATTTATACCTTGTTCCCGCCTTTCAGATTGCCGATAAGCCAAAAACGAGGCCATGTTGAGGATGTGTATCTTTCTGTGAATCATGGAAGCCATGTTTCATTGGTATTGCTCATTAAAGTAAAGTCTTTTGTTGAAAGAAAAAGAATATTGTCATATTGGTACTAAAACGCATGAAATAGCTTGGTATAAGGGACAATTGAAATAATACCACATACTAGTATAAGGCCTGTATGTTAATCGAGGAAGAAATTTGCCCAAACAACGCATCCGTATTATTAACTTTTGACTCTACACTAAAACCCTTTTTCCTTCCTCTATCGTACTGGATTCCAAAGCTCCATAAAATGCGTACAAAGAGAGATATAGTACTGAGTCAAGCACATGTCTAAAAAATTAACCATAATCAGTGATGCAATCAAGAAAGGAGGCAATTAAGTGCCTCACTCTGGCAAAGCGGGTTCAAATCATAGTACTGATTTCGAATCCCAGAAATAAGAACTAGAATCTGTACTTTACTAAGAAAGTGTTTTCCCAAATAAAACATTTGTGACATTTCTCACATCCGTCATGACCTGCAATTCAGAGAATTGTGGCACCTCACATCATTGAATATCGTGCGATAGGATATATCACAATAATAAGCAAAATACACGTCAAATATATACTGAACCGCAAAAGAAACGTCACCCTAGTAACATTGCATGAAAAGTTGTCATTTAATTATCTGGGTAATTTTTGTCAAAGTTTCTAAAATTTAACATTACCGTGTCCGGAAAAATGAAATTTGATGATAAAAAAACCCCAAAGCAGATGACAATTAAACCGATCGCCCAAACGCACCACGGCAACGTCCATGGTAACCCGATGCACGTGAGTTCAGTGTAAATTGAAATGCACATGCGTTTCCCCATTTCTTGCCCTATAAAAATCCACCCAGATCGGATAACATTCATTCGTTATTGAATTGATACCACATGTCAAGACTGACAAGAAATCAGCGACACCAAGCCCTTGGACGATTGCAAGCTGAACAAACCGCCTGGCAAGTAGTCAATGCATTTCAAGTCCAGGTAAGGCCAAACACGGTACCAGACCACCAACACTACAGATGACCGACCACGTAGTGGAAGACCAAGGGTCACCACCCGACGTCAGGATTGTCAGATTGTGCAACAACATCTTCAAGATCGCTTTGTTACTGCTGCGGAAACTGCTCGACAGACCATGGGGACACACCAGCGACACATTAGTGTGGACACCGTGCGTCGACTATTGACGAACAGAAACCTTCACTGTCACAGGCCACACCGAGGTCCCATTCTGACACCACGTCATCGCCGGGACCGTCTTCGGTGGGCAAAAAAGCACCAGCAGTGGAGAAGGAGTCCTCTTGTTAGACGAGAGCCGTCACTGTATCTTAACCGCAGATGGCAGAGAGAGAGAGTCCGGATGCTTGTGTTGTTGAGAGAGACTCGTGGGGTGGTCCGAGCATCATGGTGTGGGGTGGAATTGGTCTTGCACAGAGGGTCGGCCCTGTGGTCTTCCAGAACATCGGTCCTGGGAGAGGCAATGGTGTCACAGCAGCTCGGTACATTGATCAAGTCTCAACCCATACGCCACACCTCATTTGGTACGTCGCCGCAACCACGAGTTTCAGCATGATAACGCCCGTGCCCACTCTGCGAGAGCAACAAGAGACTTTCTCCAGCAGAATGGCATCACAACCATGCAGTGGCCTGCCCACAGTCCCGATTTAAATCCCGTTGAGCACTTATGGGACGAGTTTCAAAGACGGCTGAATGACGTCCGACCAAGGCCGACAACTGCAGCTGAACTTGGTCAGGCGTTCCTCGGAGTGTGGCCTATGGCCTTCATCAACCAACTCATCCATTCCATGTTTCGACGTTAATTGCACGGCAGTCATCAATGCACATGGCGGACACACGAGATACTGACTTGTAATGCTATTTTCTCGGAGCCTTGTGTTTTACTTTAAGAACATTTGACACTTTAATTTCAACCTTGATGATCAGTTTTGTCAAGCTTCATCTTTTTAATATGTCTCAAAGTATGTTTACAGTGTTTGGACAAATAAGGTTTCTCATATATCTATCCACGGTGACGTCTTTTCCGGTTCGGGATATATATAGGGCCAATCTGTATGAACGTCGACGCTTGCG